CACACACGGGGTCATCATGAGTCCGAACTAACAGCAACTAACAACAACAAAATACCTATAACATAAAATTTGCCATATTAATCCTTTCTAAGGATACAACTCAGTGACATTAATTACAGTCACCATGTTGTATAACTGTCACCAGTATTCATTTCCAAAACTTTTTCATCACCCCTAACAGAAACTCTGTACCCATTAAGCAACAACTCCTCATTCCCCCCGCCCTAGGCCCAGATAACCAATAATCTACATACTGTCTCTATGCACTTATCCATTCTGGAGATTTCATAAGGAGTGCTGGTGGCACAATGCTTAAACACGTGGCTGCTAAGCAAAAAGTTGGCAGTTCGAACCCACCCAGCAGCTGTGCGGGAGGAAGAACCTGGCGATCTGCTCCTGTAAAGATTACAGCCTAGAAAACCCAGTGGGACGGCTCTATTCTGTCTCATTGAGTCATACGAATCAGAATTGACAACCCCTAACAACCACTCCAGAGATTTCATTTAAGTGGGATCATACAGTATTTGTCCTTTTGTGACTAATTTCTTTCAGCATGTTGTTTGCAAGGTTCATCCATGTCATAGCGTGTATCAGAACTTCATTTCTCTTTATTTCTCTTTCTCTTTATGGTTGAGTAGTACTCCATTGTACAGAGGAACCACACTGTGTTTATCCGTCATCTGTTGGTGGACACTTGAGTTGTTTCCACCTTTTGGCCACTGTGAGTAGTGCTGCATTTGTTTTTTCTAGAGATTTCACATAAGTGATTTGCTTGTTTTTTGCTCCCGGTACAATCCCTAAAAAATAAACAAACCTCCTGAGGGCCTTTGCACGTCTGTTCCTCTGCCTCCAAATCTTTGCGTGGCTAGTTCCTTGGCACTCAGGGCTCAGCTCACGTTCCCCTCTGAGTCCCACCTCTAGTGTAGCCCTTTCTTCTGAACCGTCTGTTTCTCGATGGCCCTTACACATTACAAAGTGAATATGCGTTTGCATGGCTGCCTGTCTTGTGAGGTCAGTAAGTTCCATGTGTATAGGAGTCTGTCTGTCTTGCTCACTGCTTAGTCTCCAGGAGCTAGAACCATGCAGGAAACAGTGGGTGTATGAATGAATGAACGAATGAATGAGTGAACTAATGAATAATGGGTAGTGGGGGTTCTGTGTCTCCCAGGGAAACCACAGCTAATGGCAGAGGCAGAAATGTAGCCCAGCGAGACATCTCACTATTTTTCTTTTAAAAGAAGAAAAACAAGACAAAAAGTAGCGCCTTTGCTTATCAGCTGGGGTGGAGCCAGCGCTGGGCTGGGGAGAGAGAGAGCCCAGTGTCTGCAGAAGGATGGCTCTTTGTCCTCGGGGCGACCCAGTGCTGTGTGGCCCCGGGCCCCGTCACACAATGGGGTTCTCTGACTCCACACAGGGAGCTCGTGGAGTCCCTGAGCTTTGTCCCGGGCAGAGGGTCCTGGCCCCCCCAGAGACTGCTCCATCTCAGGTCCCCTCAGTCTCACCTGTGGCAGGAGATCCTGCCCTACTTTGGGGTGTGTCCCAGGCAAGATGGGAGGGTATACTCCCTCCTCTGCATCCTGGCCTGTGGTGCTTCCTGGTGAGTGAAGTGGAGTGTCCTGCCCCCAGTCCAAGGCAGCCATCTGAGGGGTGGTTTCCTCGCTCCCTAAGGGGCAAAGGGGAGTGACAGGGACACACAGAAGAAGCCACTGCCCCGCTTAGGGCTCAAACGCTGGCTGCCTCCCCAGACTCCCTGTTTCGACAAACTCATTCCAAAGCTCAGATTCACCCTTCCCTGAGCCCATGGGGCACCCACAACTCAGCAGTGGGTGTAGGAGGAAGTAATTTGGTACAGTTGTTGGGGAGCTGTATTCGAAAGAAGGAGCCCTGGTGGCAAAGTGGTTAAGTGCTTGGCTGCTAACCAAATGGTTGGCAGTTCAAATGCACTAGCCGCTCTGCAGGATAAAGATGTGGCAGTCTGCTTCTGTAAAGATTGCAGCCTTGGAAGCCCTGTACGGCAGTCCTACTCTGTTCTATAGGTTCGCTATGAGTCAGAATAGACTCCACGGCAGTGAGTTTTTACCCATACTGACAAAAACTACCAAAGCCAAGCTGGTAAGTATTCTCCATGACCCAACACACATAGACACTAAGAGAAATGAGGGCATATGGCCCCTCTCAGTGTCCCAGGCTGCTGTAACAAAATACCACAACATGGTGGCTTTAAAGAACAGAAATTTATTGTCTCAGTTCTGGGGGCTGGAAGTCCAAATGCAGAGCTTCAGCCATTATTCTTTCTGAGGGTTTTAAGACAGGAACTGTCCCATGCCTGTCTTCTAGCTTCTGGTGGTTCCTGGCAATCCCTGGTGTTCCTTTGCTCCTTGCAGATGTATCTTCCCTCTGTCCGTGACCCTGTCTCTGTGTCTCTTCTCCCCTTTTATAAAACACCACTCTGAAGGGATTAGGACTAGGACCCACCCTATGACCTTGTTTAACTTAACTGATAAGATCTTCAAAGATCGTATTTCCAAATAAGGTCACATTCACATGTACCAGGATTAGGGCTTCAGTGTGTCTTTTTGGGAGACATCGTTCAGTCCATAACAGCCACCAAAATCATGCACAGAAATGTTCATAGCGGCATTACATGTTACAGCCTAGAACTAGAAACCACTGAAATGCTCATCAACCACAGAAGGATAAACATTTTCTAGCAATAAAAATGCGTGAACTCAACCACAGATAAATCTCACAGACATGATGTTGAGGGGAAGGAGCCTGGCACAAAATATCATGAACGGTGGTTATCTTTGGGGAGGCATCACCTGGGAGGGGGCATGAGGAGTTTTTAGGGGGATAAGAAATGTTGAATATCTTGGTGGGAGTGGTGTACTCCATTGAGTGGCACACTTGAAGATTCACGCACAGTAATGTTTGTAAGTTATAGCTCAATAATTTTTTTTTTTTTTTAATGTAAGCATCACAGGAGGAGAAGTAGCTGCAAGATGGGAGATAGGGTGCCAACATTAGCTTTGCCCCAGGTAACTGTGACTGTTGATAAGTCAGCACTGCCCTCTTTCCAAGAGGCAGAGATTCTAGAGAACGTTCTCTGAGTTCCCATGTGCCCGTAAAATTCTGTAATTGCTGCCATTCCTCCATCGTCCGGCACTCACCAGGTCGTGCACTCCCTTAGTTGGAGGGTAATTGTTTTCTGGTTGCCTTAGTAGCTTATTTAGTGGAAGCTGGTGTCTCTTCTTCCCTCTGTGTCTAACTGCTCCAAGTCCCCTTCAGGAATATGTCGAGTGCCGTTTGGCAGCCAGGGCAGTGGGGCTCCCTGTTCAGCCTGGGAGGTGGAACTCTTCAGACTCACTAGGCAGATGGAAGGCTTTCAAGAATAAACACAGAAACTCCTCCAGGTACATCTTTGCCCTTAGACAACCATCGTCTCTTTTGCTTGAAACTTTACAGTTGACCAGTTCCCTCGCCCTCCCCCTTGTCTGCACTTAATTGTGGAGTTATCACCTGCGTCGTATTTTCTTCCAAACAGGCAATTCTGTTCATCCGTTATTATCCAGATAATGAGTCATTGATTTCAATAATAATTGCTTCCATGATTCATCGCAATCCATTCTTTCCCGATGTGCACCCATTTTGCCAATAGGAACTATTCTTCAAGCTCATTGACACGCTGAGGGCATGAAGAGTAGGCATTGTGTCAATTTATAGTAACTGGATCTGCATAATCACTGCATAATACACAATCTGTACTATTCTTGCAGAATGCAGGGCGTGCACAGTCAATGCATAGTAGGACACTGTGCTGTGGCCCACGCCTGTGAAAGGGAATCTTGTCCTGACCCCTTCAAGCCATAGGGCCCCCATTCACACTCCGGGCCCAGGGAGCTTGGATGCTGCCCATAAGGAGAAAAGTCCCCTGGGAGAGGGTTTTCCAAGTAGGACACAGTCGGCATGGCTCCTTCGGGATTGGGAGTGAAGTTGGCTGATAGAGGTGGGTGGGAAGGTGGACCTCCCATGGGGAGGAAGCATTGAGTGGCAGGGAAGGGTGGGGGAAATTATGAATGAAAAAGGCAAGAGGAAGAGGTGTCCACTGGGAACTTAAGCACAAACTAGGATATAGAGCATCAGAGCATGGGGGCAGTGGTGGTTCAGTGGTGGAATTCTTGCCTTCCACGCAGGAGATCTGGTTTTGGATCCCCGGCAATGTACCTTATGCACAGCCACCACCCGTCTTTCACTGGAGGCTTGCATGTTGCTATGATGCTGAACAGGTTTCAGCAGAGCTTCCAGACTAAGACGGACTAAGAAGAGAGGCCTGGTAATCTGCTTCTGAAAATCAGCCAATGAAAGCCCTATGAATCACAGCAGTTCAATCTATAACCAATCACGGGGATGGCACAGGACTGGGCCGCGTTTCGTTCCATTGTACACGGGGTCACCATGTGTCAGGGCAACTCTGGCAGCTAACAACAACAGAGTGTCAGAGTGGGGTGGTCCATGGGAGACACTGGGTCTGACTCTTTGGTGTGCAGTTGGGGAAACCGAGGCCCAGAGACACTGAGCCTGAAGTTGATGAGGAAGTGTGTAGAAGGCCTCACCTTGGAGGCAGCTGAAGATGCTTTGCTGGAGACCAGGGGCCAGAGGGGGAGCCTGCTTGGGGCCTGCTTCAGCCTCAGCCCATGGTAGGCTCACCAGTGTTAACCCCTGAGGGCCTCCTGCCTTTGGGGTCTGACGCCAAGACTCAAAAGCCACGTAGTGGCCACCAGCTGTGGCTCCGGGGGCCCGGGGGGTTGATGCCAGCCTGGTGAGACCCATCCACACTTGGGCAGGGGTGCAGAGTCCACCCAGAGCATGTGGCTGCAGCAGGCTCTGCACTCTCCTTGCAGAGGCTCCTCCTGGTGTAAGTGAGGGCAGCCCCAACGCAGGGTATAGCCCATTGGACCCCTGCATGTGCCCCACTGTGTCCTCTTGTTGTGTCCTTGCAGGTGTATGTGAATGGAGAGTGGGTGACCAGCATCAGTGAGGGTGGCAGCTTCGGGGAACTCGCACTTATCTATGGCACCCCCAGGGCAGCCACGGTGAAGGCCAAGACGGACCTCAAGCTCTGGGGCATCGACCGCGACAGCTACCGCCGCATCCTCATGGTGAGTGGTGCCACAGCTGCAGAGGCTTCTCGGGGGCCAGGAGAGCAGGTGACTGAGCTCAACACCCCATCCATGGCCAGTCATTGGAACCCTGGTTTCATTCAAGGCGGAGATGTACCTGGACAAAAGCCATTTCCGCTCTCTGACATATGATGAGATGGGTTCAAACTGTTGGGAGGGATGCTGGGAAGCTTCTTAAAAGTCAGACAGACAACTGAGGAGGCCCCCTTTGCTTTCTTCCCCTTTCTCCTTCTAGCTGTCTGGAATGTGGTTGTGATGGCTGGTGTTCCAGCTGCCCTTTTGGGCCATGAGGTGACTTTGAGAATGAAACCCATTCACCAAGATGGTGGAGCAAAGAGATGAAGGAGCCTGGGTCCTTGGCGATGCTGTGGGGCTACTCTGTCAGGCCTGCACTATTTGCCTCCAGACTTCCATTATATGGGGATAGGCCCTTATGTTTTTAAGCCACTGTTGTTTTAGGTTTTCTCTTCTATGCAGCCAACTGATACAGTGTGAGTGTGTGTGCTCACACATATGTGCATTGTGCTGGCCCACCGCGGGGCTCCTCGAGGGCAGTGGAGCTTATTTGCCCACCTGGGCAGGTGTTCACGGGAGCTTCTGGAGATGAGCTCATGAACCGAGAAGACCCTTCCGGGCAGAGGAGGCAGGTTCTTCCTGTGCCTGTTCAACATACACTTCACACACATTCTGCCCACCAGGCACTGTCCTTGGCACTGGGGTATCCCAGTGCACAATGGACACAGTCCCTGCCCTTGTGAAGCTGACCTTCTAGTGGAGGAAACAGACTATGAACAAACACATGCCTGATCCAGTGATGGTTTCTGTGGCTAAAAATAGAGCAGGGGAGGGGAGTGAAGGTGGATCAAGAGATGAGAGGGGGCTGCTATTTTATAAAAAGGCATCTGAGAGAGTCCCTCTTTGATAAGGTGACATTTGAGCAGTGGCCTTGCCCTAAAATCCAAAAGGCTATCTAGGAGAAGAGTGTTGGGCAGAGGAAACAACAAGTGCAAAGGTCCTGGGGTAGGAGCTCACTGGGAGTGTTCAAGGGACAGTGAGGAGATATCGTGGATGGGAGAATGATGGAGGTCACTGCAGAGGTAGAGGGGGCCACATCTTGGTGGCCTTGTAGCCTCTACAGCGGCCTTGACTCTGACCCTGAGTGCAGTTGGGAGCCACAGCAGGAGTTTAAGCAGAGGAGGGATTGAGCTGACTTGGACTCAGTTGTCTATTGGCCAGTTCGGGGGACATTGGTGAGGGCAGGGAGCATCCCGCGAGGTGGATCACTGAGAGATGGATGGAGCTGGAAGGCTCCAGGCGTGAACACACTGGTCTGGGAGGATTCCGTTCTGACTGCAGGGCTTGTTTCCCACTGTTGGGCAGAGGCCGCTAGGCACCAAGTTCCCCATTCTTTGGAATCTCATGCTCCTTGACTATCTATGTTTGTCCCCATGGTGACCAGTGGACTGGGGACTCCCTGAGCTGGCTACTGAGCTTGCTGGAGGTGGTCCAGGGGAACCTGGACAGCATGGTCTTTGGGACTCTGCTGGGGTGTCCCTCAGTGCACTCTGAGTATGGCTGTGCTCAGAGCTTGCACCTGCAGGGCCTTTGATCTGAGGACCCATCTCTGCTGAGGAGGATGGTGACCAAGGTGAGCTCATTGCTGGGGAACCCATGGCTGCTCCTGGACCACCTCCTGACCCTCACTAGAGACCACGCCTGTCATAATGCCTGCCCTCAACTTCATGCCCAGAACCAGCCGGAGCCACCACAGGAGGTAGACACTCAGCCACCAGCTCCACATTGCAGTGGCCTCGGGGCCAGCCCAGCGGGTACCTCCTGCAAGACACTCCTGCTGAGATACAGTTTCCAAGGGTAGAGCCGAGGTCCAGGTAGATGCTGGAGAAAGATGGAAAGTCCCCATGGGATGATTTAGGAGAGGGTCTCATGAGTTCAGGCATGGCGAGGGTGTGAAGGATGTGCCTGCCACAGGAGCTGCCCCTCTTACAGTTTTGCACCCAATGGAAACCAAGGGTTTGATGGACAGAGGGCAGAAGGGGGAAGGTTTCCTCTGGACAGCAGGTCTGTCTTGGTACCCCTGAAATGACCAGTTCTTTCATAACTCCAGGTAGGGTTCAGTACGATCTTCTGAACAATTATTTTGTTAGCCTTCATGCTTGATGAACTCCTTGTTCATGCACTTAACAGACATTGTTTGAGTGCCCATCACAGACATTGACTGGATGCCCACCATGCACCTAACAGCCATTAACTGAATGCTCACCACGGTGTGCCTAACAGACATTGGATGCCCACCATGGTGCACCTAAGAGACATTGACTGAACGCCCACCATGCGCCTAACAGACATTGACTGGATGCCCACCATGATGCACCCAACAGACATTGGATGCCTACCATGGTGCACCTAAGAGACATTGACTGAGTGCTCACCATGCACCTAACAGACATTGACTGGGCACCCACCAACCACTTAACACACATTGACTGGGTGCCCACCACTCACCTAACATATACTGATTGAGCACCCACCAGGTGCCTAACAGGCATTGACTGGGCACCCACCATACACTTAACATGCATTGACTGAGTGCTCACACGCACACACATTGGATGTATACCATGAGCCTAAGAGACATTGACTGGGCACCCATCATGCACCTAACACACATTGACTGGGTGCCCACCATATGCCTAACAGACATTAATGGGCACCCACCACATGCCAGAGGCTCTTCTAGTGCTGTGGACACACCAGGGAATAAAACAGATGAACAGCCCTGCCCTCTTGGACAGTGACTTCTGGTGGAATGCTAGTTGTTTCTCTTCTTTGTCTCCTTTCCTTGCTGGGTGACCTGTCCCGTGGGAGGGTGCTCGAGACATCCGCACTGTTTTGGGAGTGGGAAGAGGACACACCACTTCCTTTTCTCTTGGTGCACCTGGCCCAGATGTTGCATAAGCCGCCATTCCTCTGCCATCATCAGCACTGTGCCTTTCTTGGCTGTGGGACTTTTGTGGCTGGAACCTTCTATTCAGTGAAGTTCCCAAACCACTGAGGCAGCCAACACTTCCTCTGTTTTAATTTTGGATCCCCGGACGCTAAGAATAGCTATGGCTATGATGGGCAGGCCACAGGGCTCTGCGTATCTTGGAGAGGAAGTGACAGTGCCTTGTGGGATAGAGTCGTGGTTCCATCGGTCCTTGATCTGGGGGCACTTGGACACACCCATCACATAATATGTGTGCACGCTGTGGGGGACACAGGAGTCGGACAAGATCCTGGGTTCTCCAGGAAGAGGGCCACCTCTTGAAACCTTAGCTCAGGACTCTGCAATTCCAGAGTGTCTGATCTGGAATGTTCCCTAGAATGGCCAGTCTCTTCCCTCCATTCCTGCACATCTTCTAGAGGAAGAAGGGAGTTCAGCAAGACCAGGCTACTGACCACAGCCCCTTGGCATGACAGGGCTCTACCTCATCTCCAGCCTCCTAGGCCATGGCCTAGCACTGGGCCTGTGGTCTCCAAACTCTTTTTTTCTTTCTTTTAAGCTTCAGGGCCCTTTGTTCACCCTGAATCTTATGCAGAATCCCAGTGTATACTCCCTTCTCTTCTTCACCTTTGCCTTGGGACCATGTCCGGGTCAGCAGTGATGCCCTCAGATCCACGGCCATGAGCATTCCCACTGGGAGCCATAGCCCCTGTCCCTGGGGTCACCCTGCTTCTGGCCTCTGGACAGAGGATCAGGCTTCCCTTGCCCTTGGTCCTGGTGTGGGGACCCTCTCCGCTGTCCTTTTGGAGAGAAGAGCAGGAGAAGCTATGAGGAAGGCAAGGAGGAGGGTATGTGTAGCTGGGGTTGGAGGTCTGCCAGTCCATTACAGAGATGTGGAAACCAAGGCCCCTGCCAGTGCCCGGGGAGACGGGTGGAGCTGAGACTGGGACCAGGTCCTTTGGCGGACCTGCCTGGGATCATGCTGGAACTTGTGTTGGGCAAGCCCACACCTGTACCTGTGAAACAGGAGTCCTTGCAACTTCCTCACGTGGCACAGAGCCACCCAGGTGGTGCTGCAGACATGCCACAAAGCCCCCGAAGTAGGGTCCCCAGCAGCCACTCCGGGGTGTGGGGACAGATACTGAACTTGCAGGCCCAGCTCACCCACATCTCAGCTGCAGAGGAGGGCCAACGCTCCCAGCCTCAGAGCCATGTCCCCTTCTGAGGGTCTCACCCACCACCTCCAGCCCCACTTTGCAGTGACAGGTGACTGGCCCACTGCGCCCGCTTTTAAGTGTCAGGCTCCTGGGGCAGCACACACTTGCATCCACCCCAGGGGTCATTGTGGAGGTCACTGTGGATTATAAACGATTCTTCAGGGGAGATGCCCTTTATAGCGGCGGGCCACTGTGCAGGCTCCCTGGACAGACCCAAAGCCTTGAGAACAGCTGCAGCGATGACCAGCACCACTTTCTGCCATGAGAGGCCTGGACACTACATTCAAATGGCCCCTTGTTGTTGCCATGAAAACTGGTCTGTTGAGTCTGGCGGTGGTGGGTGTGGATGCGCTTCTGTGTGGTCTCGGACAGATGAGCTCAGGCCGCGCTGACAGGGTCTCCCTGATGCTCTGGGCTGGCATCTCCAGCCCCGTCTGGCTCCGTGCTGGGAGGAGGGGCCTGGAGGGGGTCTCGGGGTTCTGTGTGGGAGATGGGACACCTCTACAATTCTAGAACTGGGACTTGCAGACTGTAAGGTGTTGGTCTGTCCCTGAGCCACAGAGAACTGGTGGGGAAACTGAGGCCTGGGGGCTGGGAAGGACTGGGGTCCCATCACCATGAGAGTAACTTTGCATCCTGTGCCGGGCACTTAACCCATGTTGGCTCACACAGCCTTCATGGGATCCCTCGGGGCAGGTATTAAGAGATTCCCATTGTCCAGATGAGGAAACTGAGGCTCAGAGAGGTGAAGTGCTTGC